GGAGGGGGTTCAGATCAAAAAATAACGTACAGGTCTATTCTTCACTAGACCTAACCAGAATCGAAACACAAATAAGCTGGTTTACATGTTACAAATATTTCAACCCATGAAGCTGTGGCCGTAAGAAGAGTTCCTCGTGGCCTTCTTGGAGAAATGCTGCTTTAGGGGTTGCTGTGGTTGATAACTAATTAAGCTAGTATCAAGAAGAGCAGCTTATTTTTCAGGCTCATTGGATTCTAAATTAACAGCTTCCCAACAACCAAGAGAAGCAGTAGAAGAGACCTGCAATGAGCTATAAGTTATTTCTACAGAGCACAGCTTGAGTTGTGCCCGCATCACCATATAGCCTAGTATCCCACAGCTCCTCCTGGACAGGAATGGTGATCTGTGGCCAATGGGAGCTGCAGTCACCCATGCCTGCAGAGGCGCAGGTAAATATAGCGGCACCAGCCCACCAGGGGCTAAGCCTAGTGAGCTGGATCCATCCTGTGGGCGACGATTTCCCCACCCTTGTCTTAGAGGCTTTAGATCAGGTTCATCTGAACTACATCAATCTTGCCACTCTTCAGTCTATTGCATTGCAGCTTGCACTGGGAATTTACAAAAGCCTGGTCTTCAAAGGCCTAACCCTAAGTTAGCCCAGCTACACCACTTCTCGCATAGAAGCTATTCTATATCCCTAATCATTTTTGCTTTTCTGTACTTTTTCCAATGTATCTTTACAAGGAAGCTATGCCCATTGCCTGCTACTTTCACTAACCCCCCCTCTCTTGGAAGGGTAGGCAGCCCTGCCTTTCCCCCGGCTACATCAGCCCAGGCCCTTTCTCTTACCCTCCAACTCCCTGGTCGTGACCTAATGCTGACCCTTCTCCAGCTGAGGCCACACCAGGAGTAACTCTGCCCCTGGTGGCTGGGGAGGGCTGGGCTGAGGTGCACTAGGCCTGGCTCACCACAAAGCCGCCAGAGAGGGCTAGGCTGGCAGTGGATGGGACTTGATTCCAGAAGGGGGCTGGGTCTTACCCATCCATGACTACCCCCGGCAACCTGTGCACATCATGAGGTGATGACATCACTTATTCCACAGGTAATTTTTTTTAAAATATATATATAGAAAAGGGGGCAGTGAGCTCTGCACCAGTGTTCAAAATATAAACATACCATGGATTTACAGAGGCACAAATACCGTGAGCTACCCCTTTGCCAACAATTCCCAACATTGTTAGCTTAACTGCAACTGTATATAGAGGGAATGTTTTCAGAGAATTTGCCATTAACAACTCCAAGATCTCTTTCTTGAGCAGTAACAGCTCATTTAGACCTCTTTATGTACAGCTGTAGTGTTTTAAGTGTAGAAAAGCCCAAAGTCTTTGCTCCCCCCAGCAGAGTGAGTACTTTGGATCATATGTAGCAAGTTCCTATAAGGCTTTGGTATGTGATCAGACCAAAGATTGTTCTGTAACCAGTTTTGTCCCACAGCTGTACTGGGCTGTTGCAAGGAGAAGCACAGAAACAAGCCATTTCATATACCTGTAGAATAAGAGAACCATTACAACACCCACCCTTTTACCATATACTCAATATGGAGTGACAGACGCACTGAGACCTTCTCCCCCACACTATAATCTGTAATATGAAAGAAACAGAGTGAGCATTTACATTGCACTTTTTTAATTGCACAGTTTTTAAATATTAAGTGGAGAAGCAATTCATCGAAACTAAACAGCAATAGAAAACTTTCAGAAGCATTTACATAGTAAGTTACGTAAAATTTACAAGAGATGTTTAATGTTATGTTGAGCCAAATGTACATGAGAAGTACAGCCCAAATGTTGAGGCAGACAACTGCTGTGTCAAGAACATTATCCCACCTGCTTTCATCTGCCCCAAAGTCAATTTCTGTTATGTATGGAGGATTTTCCCAAATTGGGAAAGATACAGTTTAGGTACATGAACACTTGTTTCTCTCTGAGGTTATCATTACCTTTAGTCTCTGAAAAGGAAAATGAGCATTTCCTCTTCAAGAGAAAGTATACAATCGTAGCCTAAGATGGGTATAAATTAGCAATACTAGGCCCGGTGAAACCCAAAGTCAATTTCTGTTATGTATGGAGGATTTTCCCAAATTGGGAAAGATACAGTTTAGGTACATGAACACTTGTTTCTCTCTGAGGTTATCATTACCTTTAGTCTCTGAAAAGGAAAATGAGCATTTCCTCTTCAAGAGAAAGTATACAATCGTAGCCTAAGATGGGTATAAATTAGCAATACTAGGCCCGGTGAAAATACTTCTAAAGAGAGTAATGTTCTTTATGAAGTAGCCATCTACTCTACTTCTGGCTTAAGAAAAAAAATGAGGGGGGGGGGGGGGTTGTTGTTTCTCAA